CTTTCCATGTGGCATTTTCTACTGACAAAAGACAGAAACAGACAGATCTTCACAGGTATTATGGTGCCTAACTCCCAAGGAGGTGAAGATTTAAATACTTCCATAGCTCTAGCACCCAAATGAAGTCAGTAGCGCCTGAGCACTTGCTCTAAGTAGGAATATAGGTGGGTGAGCGACCACACCTCTGCCCCTATGAAAGCAGCCAAGCTCTCCTGCCTCTGTGCTGCAGAGGGCAGTGGCACACACGCACTAGGAGGTGCTTTCCAATACATTAAAAAATTATTTAAATTGTTTAAAAGCTTTACCCATAAAACCAAGCATAAATGCTAGACCTCATAAGGATGGTGTCCATGCTGAGGTGAGGTGTTGCTATTGGGTGGGTTGTTTTTTGTGTATGTTTTGCTCAAAAGAATACGATTAGAGTTTTATTGACAGACAACGGAGTACTTTCCCACCTTTTAACCTAAACAACAGGTAAGAAGGTTTTGTTAAAACCTTCCCCCAAAAGACTGTAAAGGAGAACAAAATGACATTTGAACAGAAGTGATCAGGGTTTTGGAAAGTTATGAGTACATAAAAAAATTAATAATGGAAGCTTGTAACATCTGTAACTATAATGGATACCATGAAATGTCTACTGAAATAACATATACTTGGATCCATAAATGATACTGACACCTTCTATAGCTATGTCTTCAAGTAGGACCCAAGCCTTGGACCCATTTGCAACACAGCATGTGTTCCTTACCTCTCTGTTAACTGATTGATCGGCAGGATGCTCAATTTTAAAAGCAGTAAAAACTACCCTTAATGACAATGAGTCTTCCCTAGTTTGGCATATGGACTCCTGGGCTGTCATATCACTGTGGTAGGGCAGGGAAAAAGAGGAGCGGGTGGAAGGCCTGGTACATGTATGTTCACAAGCAGCCTCCACCCTGACCCAGTGTTGAGCAACTCTCCGGCAACTATTCTAGAGGGTGAGGGGGAAAGGGGCCCCTCTTTGCTGGCTGACTCGACCTTTCCCTCCGCAGGTTTTGAGTATGCCTATGTGGCTGCAGAGCCTGGCGGAACGGCTGCGTGCCAAGGAGACACTGCAGCCCCAGGTTTGGTCCTTTGCTTGTGGCTCAGAGAGCACTGTGAAAAGTCACTACTTTTAGCTTAAAACACTTGGATGCATTTAAGACTTTTTTTTTTTTTTTAACATAGGCGGTAGCCTAAGCCAAAGAAGCCAAACATTTTCAGTTGAAAATAATTGAACCAGAGGAGGAAAGAGAGATGATCAAATCCAAAGCAACTCTGGAAACCATCCACAGGGATTTTTTTCTTTTATTTTTATATACCACTCTGTTAAAAGCTTGTGTTGGCCAGTTCAGACCTACTCTTTTTCTTCTTCTTTTGTATGGAGTCCGGTAACATTCAGCTTAATGCGCTTTGGAACAGCCAGGGAATATTTTAAGTGAAAAACAGATATGGAAATGGACCCTAAACCCAGGCAAAGTTACAACTGTTCCAGGCCATGCTGAGGCACAGCTCAAGTCTCCAAACAAGCCTGTTATCAGTGTGATGCACCTTTCAGTCCAGAAGCGTTTTTTAATCATTAGAGTTCACTTCAGTGTAGAGACAAGGCGAAGGACTTTATTCAGGCTGTGCTGCAGGATGGCTGCAGATAGTGGAACACGCATTCCAGGCTGGTTTTCCAGCTGTTTATTCAGGTGTCATGAATTAGAAGAGTTATTCAGTGTAACGTAACTACTTTGATCATGAACTGTGGAAAATAAAGGCCACTTCAGCAAGGTCAATTATAGCTCTCTGTCCCAATTTGCAAAACTGGTTTGAGGATACATGCTTACAGTATTTGGATTACTGCTGAGCTTCATTCATTTGTTACATTTTGATTGCTTAGCAGGAAAACACATATAAAGTCACACTAACTCTGTTTTAATACTGATCATTGGATAATGTTGTAACTCCTGCCCAGAGTAACATACAGCATCATCTATTCTGGAGTTGTTCACTTGACATTAGTTTCTAAGCCAGCACAAACAGTGACTAGGTCAGTGATGGCAACTGAAATGTAAAGAAGTTATTTGAGAAGCTCAGCCCTCCATCTGCCTTTTTGTTTTCCCATCACATTTGATTAAGAGTATTCACTTTCCAGCTCTGTTTCTGGGAAAGAACTTTGATTCTCAGTCATAACTTTAATTTTTCTCAC